CCCTTCATCCTTCAGTGGATAGACAATGGCTAAAATGATGATGGTGACTTTATCACAGCCTAGCTCTTAAACCAGCCAACAAATGCTAAAGGATTGGGCATGATGTCCATTCTATTGTGGTTTAGAAAAGTTGTGAAGACCAGGCTCTTCATCCAGGTTTTTGGCAAGGAAGAAGGAGACCAAAGTTTTCTCCATTGCATACCATCCAATAATCAAATTTTTAAAAAGCCTTTCCTACCTACTGCATCCATACCTAATTTTACACACCTAGTCAAAATCTGGCTCTAGTATCCTTTGCATCCAATGCCCGCACAAGTCTGTTCTGTTGTTGAAAGATGAATTTATTCACTAGTGGCAATAATATGTGAAAATATGTAGGGTTCCCCGTGGTTTTTATGCAGCAACCTGTTCCAAATAATCGTAGGAATAACTGAGCATATGCAGTTTTCAGCTAGGTTTCCAAATGCCTAAAGAGGGAGGTTAAATCTTGCTGAAAACACAGGACTAATATCTTACCTTCCATTTCATTTGCCCTTGATCAAAACTCAGAATTAGGAAAAACACTTGTCAAGTCCCAACTTGTCCATCCCGAGAAATTTAATTAGTCAAAGAATGTGTTTACTTTAGAACTGCTAAGCAGTGTTCCTGATGCCTAAGATATTTCTTTCAAAGCTATATAACTCAAGTGTGCAGATTCCCAAATGAAATAAAGAGTTTTTCATTACTTCATTCTAAACTATAATCAGTTGTCATGTTTGTATTGCTTTACAACAATACTGTAAGAAGAGAAAGGGGGAAAATATACAAACATGAACAGGGAAATGCAAAGAAAAGAAGAAAAAAAGGGCATCAATGGATTTTTTTGTATTACAACATGTGGAAAGAAACTCAATGGCAAACCTATGGTACTTGCCAAGACTATGCAGTCACCAGCAATATATTAAATAGTACCTTTGTTTGCAGATGTCACTTATCTGGATTATGCAGTAGCATAACTTTAAGCGCCTTATTAATTTGCACATTCAGAATGGTCTCATACAATATTTAATGCTATTCAAAAATGTGTTCATATTAGCAACTTTCTCCTGCATTTTTCACCCTATCAGTTCTTGTTTGTTAATTGTTTGTGGAAACGACCAGGGATGGGAAGAAAGAGAGAGAGGATGCCCAGAGAATTATCGGATAAGAAAGGGCATAGCCTACAGCTGCATAACGGGGCAGAGAAACAGACTCATGAAGGAACCTCCTTAAATTCTCAGGCTGTAAAAGAGATGATGGGAGATTTGTACTATCAGATTTGCAAGGTTCTATTAATGTAGCCTTATAATAAAGTATAATTAGCATATCTGATTGCCTTTCCTGTCTGATCTTCCTGGGAAGACTGACATGTTCAGTATGATCTAGATCAGGGGTGTCAAACTCAAGGCCCAGAGGCCAGATCCGGCCTGCGAGGTGCTTTGATTTCACCCACGGGGCTACCTTGGAAACAGTGAAGGATCGGCCCGCAGTTCTTCTGCCAGCGAAAACGGAACTTGGGTGGTTGCAACAACCTCCTGAAACCCTCTGCCAGGGAAAACGGAGCTCGGGAGCCCTCCCGCAGTCTGTTTTTGCTGGTGAGGGTTGCAAGAAGCCATCGCAGCCACCCAAGTTTCATTTTCACTGGCAGTGCCCTTGAGCCATCACAGAGGCCCCAGACATGAGTGAAGTCGACCTGGCCACGCCCACCCTGGCCACACCCACCTGGCCCCCAAGGTTAAACACAACTGATGCAGCCCTCAGTGAAATTGAGTTTCACACCTCTGATCTAGATAATATGTTTTCAAAATTGTTTTAAAAAGGGAAATGATTTTACAGTAAATTATCTCCTCTAAAATAATATATGGGAGGGTTTTTGTTTGTTTGTTTCAGGAGTTTTACAAGTTTCACTCTTTTTCTAGGAATAAGGAAGTCTTGATAAATTTAAATTTGGCACATTGATTTAATGTGCCAACAAAATGGCCATTCCCCACCATCCAGTCTGAACTGAAGAAGCCTCTTGGATGAGAAGGAAAACATCTTAAAAAAAAAACACCAAGAAAATCCAGTTGAAAAATCACCTTTGGGACCACTATGACCTGTATGGCTGAGAATCTACTTAGCCATTACACTATATGCTTGCCAAGGACATTTTGAAAAAATGTCTGTAACCGAATCAGTCTGTTTTATTCCAAAACCTTTAAGACAATTCTGGCATATAAGAATCTATTTTAATTCAGTGCATCTTCTATTGATGTTCTGGAATACTTCTGGGATATTCACAATAGAGATTATTTTCAGTTCTTTGTCTTCCTATCTTTAGTGTGTGTTCTTTTTTGTAAAAGCAGTAATTAAATATGAACTGTAACCCACTTGTAACTTTTCATGCAACTTAAGAAAGAGTTAAAATTTCAGATGCTATTTTAAGTGTTAGTCTACTGAATTCCTGCTCCTAATGTGTAGTGATATAAACAAACATGGAAAATATTCTGCAAAGCATTTTTAGAAAACAACAACAAATGGGGTCAATGCTGATTTCCCCTCCTTTTACATAACTTCGTATGAATTGTAGGATTCCTTCTGTTATTTCTCCTGTTTCCCTTTGCGGTTTCAGAAAACAAAATTCAATTCAATTTCCATGTCTGACATGTTTTGATAATAATGCAGCCATCCAAATGGAAGTACAATATAAAATGCTAAAAAAAAAAACCGACTATCCAATGATATTACCAAGTTCACTGCATAACTCAGCAATATGTATCATAGTTAGGATGGGCTGGAACTGGAAGAGTCAGCCTGACCTATGTCGTAGTGATAGGATGAAATGGGGGGAAAAGAACCATCAGATGTTATCAAGTATGATGAATGTATGTCATGTTAAGCTAAGATTGTCATATATTCAAATTTTTGCAGATATGTCACCCTTTTTAATTCTTATGTTTTTGTTCATTTTTTTTTTTTTTTGCTTTTCTTTTCTTTTTTCCTGCACCCTAACAATGGTTGCACAAAATGGCAGTCCAGTGACTTGGGGATTCATCTAGCTTCAAAACATAAAATTGTTTCAAAAATTATGAGAAAAGTCTAAGTACTTAAAGGGATCATTTAACACCTGTCAGTTGAATAAACATGAGTTATGAATCTTGCACTTTACTCAAGACAAAAACCAATAACTGTAGAAAGTATACCATAGCCATGAAAGTGTACACATACAGTAATTTCTTAATGGGTTTTTATTATTTCAAGTTTTCAGTTTGAAAGAATAGAGGTTGTTTCCAATTGAGTTTTTATTCTGCAGTCACCTTACCTCATTCATGATACGTTATAAGGGAGGCAGTTTATGATTTCATAAGCTAACCACATCATTTCTGTGTTTTTCAAATGTTTTCCTATCTTTTTTTCTTACTAAAAACATCCATGAAAATAAAATATAAGAATAGTAGAAAACAGGGTTTCTCATCCTTGGGAACTTTAAGGTCTATGGACTTCAACTCCCAGAATTTCCCAGCCAGCATGGGTTCCCAAGGTTGGGAAACCCTGGTATAAAATAAGAACTTCTCCATGCAACATGATCCTTGTGACTCATTCCTTGCACTCACACTGGATAAAGATACTTTACTACCATATGACTTAGCAGATGTTGATACAGATTTGTCCCCTTTTGACAGTGTTGTCTTTTTCAAAGTTCACAAAGAGTATATACAAACTCAAGGTTAACCGCACCAAATTTGATTGAAGGAAATATGACTTCAGCAACAGAGTGGTCAATGTCTGGAATACTCTACCTGACTCTGTGGTTTCTTCCCCAAACCCCAAAAACTTTAACCTTAGACTGTCTACTATTGACCTCACCCCTTTCCTAAGAGGTCTGATGGAGGCGTGCATAAGCACACCAACATGCCTACCATCCCTGTCCTATTGTTTCTTTTATTTTTTTTATTTTTCTTATATGTATCCATGTATTCATAACTATGTTCTTACTTATACCTATTATCTTGTAAGCAATTGACAAAAATAAATAAAAATAAAAATAAATAAATAAAAAGTATAAAGACGCAGGCAAACCACAGCAGGAAAGAATCGTTGCCTTGCTGGAGACTACAGGTAGTCTTTGGCTTATGACCACAATTTAGCCTAATTGCTATGTGAGACATTTGTTAAATAAATTTCCCCATTTTATGACCTTTCTTGCTATAGTTGTTAAGTGAATCACTGCAGTTGTTAAGTTAGTAACAAAGTTGTTAAGTAAATCTGGCTTTCCCACTGATTTTTTGGGGGGGTCAGAAGGCCTCAAAAGGTGACCACATGACCACATGGACATATGGACACAGTAATCATCATAAATATGAATCAGTTGCCAAAATAATTTTGATCACATGACCAGGGGGATGCTGAAACTGTCATAAGTGTGAAAATGGTCATATGTCCTTTTTTTAGTGCCATTGCAACTTTGAACAGTCTCTAATTGAACTGTTGTAGTAATATCTGTACTATTATCTAAATCAGTGTTTTTCAATCTTATTAACTTTAAGATGTGTGGACTTCCCCAGACAGCCAATTGAAGTTGAGAAATACTGAATCTACATTACTATTTACTCTGAGAAACTGAAAGCTAAACTAGATAGGCCTTTGTCTAAATTAGGGCTGCCCTTCTTAGGTAACCATGCTGATTAATGCCTTGGACGAAATTTGTAACAGATATAAAATAATGATAATGTTGAGAAAGACACTTAAGTATGGGTCAATCATTTTCTTCCATGCATGATACAAAGATTTAAAATGTAGTTTGAATGTTCTGTATTGCATTGATTTAATTTTAATAAACTTTAGAGATTATTTCAGTTAATATAGAACACAACAAAATTAACAAGATAATGAAATTTAAGTATTGGCATAAAAAGCCATGGAGACCACAGGAATGTGTCAATATTTTTATTTTTAGAAGCACTCAAGGTAAGAAAAAAGAACCATATATTTCTAGCACATACTTTGATGGATGGAAATCAAAAACACCAGGCATTGGGATTGGAAATGTTTTCCTATATTTTACTGTATTGTGTGACACTGAGAGCCAATAAACTCATGGGAGTTAATAAATAACATGTTTAAGTTTCTCACAAGTTAACAAGAATCATTGGTATAATCCTACCCCCTTAAAACAATTATATTAGCACAACTCATGTTACCACAGCATTCTTATTTGGCTTTATGACACATGAGAACATTACTTCATTTATATATGCTAAAAAAATAAAATGTACTTTCTGCTTTGATGATCACGTGGGCTAGCAAACAAATAGTCTGAGAGTGACTGTAAAATGAAAGTTTCAGTAAGAAATACAAAATATAGAACAAAGGCCTTTTTTTGGTAACACTGCAAACTTGAGTTGACAATATACATCAAGCTTTCTGCTGTCAAGAATTTATAAAAGTGTGCTTTAGGATGTACTTACCTAGTCTTCTTTCCTTAAACTAAAAGAGAGTCTTCCTTAAACTAAACAGAAAGATGTCATTTTCCCAAGTTCTTCATTGCCTTTCACTCCTCTGTGATGGGATCCTTTCCCCCCTGGGTCACATGAAAGAGTTCTATTAATGTGAATTGGCTTAGGTTTGAGAACACAGGACTGGATAATACTAAAGGGTGAGGAATCTGATCTGGGAGCTCTAAGCTGTAATACGTCACTGCTCTACAGGAGCCACATGAGCTGTCAGCTATTTGAATGGGAAAACATTACGAAGAAAAGGCTTTACTACCTTTTTCAGGTTCTGCAGGCTAGCACCAATGTGGTCCAGAGATAGCTCAGGTGCTGGTGTGACCTTTTCTTTCACATAGTCTTAACCAATTTTTTTATTCTGTATATTTCTGCTCTCTCTGTTTATCTCCCTCCCTCTCTCTTTTCTCTCTCTTTCCTGTACACACACACAC